TGAGGGACACCAAGGTTGGGGGCTGGTCCCGCAGTAGCACACCAAGCATATCAGAGGCTTAGCGCAATTTACCCGTCGTGGGTACCCGGCAGTTGGAGCCAAAAATTCTTTTGGTTCGTTTTTGTTTTCATTTGTCATTTGTTTTGATTTTCATGTAAGAGAAAACTTCTCCCGGTGCTAACTTAGTTGGGGGGGGGGGGGACCACGCGGCGGCGCGGCGCTCTGTTCGTCTGCTCCTCTAAGGCTTAGTCCAAGGGGCAGTTACTATTTCGTCGCCACGTGGCAGTTTCGAAATACGCGCCATCGGCGGACTAAGCCTTGGAGGAGCAGACGAACAGCGCCGCGCCGCCGCGTGGTCCCCCCCCCCAACTAAGTTAGCACCCTTCCCCCTCCGCCAAATTTGTAATTTAGTCTTATTGCACCTAACACTTAGTGAACTAACCAATTATGATCACTCCTATTTTATTTTTTGGTTCTAGCGGTAAAAACACAAGAGACTTCTGTGTAGAAATTAGGGGTTTCCAAGGTTTTCTCCGTGCTCGGGATCGTAGTGGCGTGTTAATGCAATTTGATGCATGTAATGGCTTACGGTAATGGCTGATTTCCGCGTTAGTGTTTCCGAGGCGGCTCTATACAAGTGGGGTGGGCACGCCCAGCTTTTCACGCATGTCAAGTGACTGCCCTCACCCCCACCCCCTAGATTGGCTACACTCCCCCTGGCTCACGAATTCCCCGATTCTCGTGACAGTATAGTAGCGGGCAGCAGTCCCACTTACATACATTTCTGTTCAAAAAATGCGGCGTGCCCACCCTACTTGTATAGCACCGAAACTTGTTGTTTTATGATTATACTGACGCTTTATGCTCTCACTAAAGTTCTATTATTGGTGACCATGAGGAAAATTAAAATTTTTAAATTTCTCTCGAAGGAACCTCATTTAGTAGAGCTCATAATGCAAGTGGGAATGATGGGCTATGCAGCTATCAGAAAAGGCATTACTCTTTGCTTTTTGCCCTACCTTAGCGCTTTCTAGATTCGCTCCTTAGATTTCGATACCTTACTGTAATTGCATATTTTTGGTCCGGTCGGACCGTTCCTGTAGAAAACAGAGATAACCCTTTACCTTGACTTTGAGCACTTCAGCAGCCTGATCTTCTGGCTTTGGGAAATTGCCATGGATGATGCCCACACCTCCATAGAGCTAAAATAATAAAGGAATATTTATAATAATGAACTGAGCAAATCTTTTAGCAACCACGACTGGTCGTGTCCCATAAGTACAATAAATGATCCTGTGCACCTTATGCTATGCAAATAACTGTAAAAAATTGAATGGATATTTTGGTAATAGGTACAAATCTGAATAGATATCTCCGAATGTTGTGTCTGGCGAGTTCTCCGGTTACCTTTGTTACAAAGTACAAAAATAAGCGTTTTAGAAGGCTTAAATAACCCTATAAACCCCGCCTGCCCATGAATAATGTCAGCAAAACAGTGGGATACTTTTCAGTAAATAGTACTATTGGGCAATTTTCCGGCGCCCACTTTGCCGTGAAGTGCTGTAAAGGCCTGACATGAGATATTTCATAAGGTAACAGGTGTGATTTCCGTCACAATTTATAGCTCAAATTTCAAGCAATCTATCAAAGTTCTTCTGAAAATATGGCAAATCGCTTGTGCTCACCGCCATCACGATCGCCATTCCGCTCTCTGTCACTGTGTCCATGGGCGATGATACCAAGCGGAGCTTTAATCCGGATATTCCGCGTGATTCGAGTGTCCAGTTTCACATCGTGTACGGAAAAGTCGATCAGACCGGGCAGGATATTGAAGTCGCTGAAATACTGCATTACATAAACTATGACAATAGTGGTCACTTCGTTTCACTCCCATTAGACGCCTCTAAGCGGGCCAATCCCACAGCTTTTCAACGACACATGTAATTGTGATTGTATCAGTAATTGTTTATTACATAAGTGCAAACCCCTGTTGATCCAACATAAGAGGAAAAAACATAAAACAAACAAGGTAAAGTCTGACCACTACATTAGCCAGAACCATAACTAACTAATATTACATGTGGAAATGCTAGATACTTTTATAAAACTGTTTGAGAAAAACTTGATTTGTCGCTAGAAACACCCAACTTAAGGAGCCTATCAACTTCGAACAAGACCTGTTCCCAAAGAAATGGCGTTCAACATTACATTTTGCTCTGGAAACTGAAACAACTAAAATTTTAAAAGCTTTTCCCGTAGTTGACTCCTCAACGTTTAGGAACCTATTGGACTTGGGAGTCGTTCAGTTCTTCCTACGTCAGGGGAACTCAAGGACAGGTCACCAGAGCTGCGCGATCATTGAAGCTTAAGGTTAAGCTTGGGTTTAGGCTTAGGTTTGGGCTTATGCTTACACATTGGCTTATGCTAAGCCTATGATTGGGCCTAGGCTTAGTCCTAAGCTTGCTTCGAGCAAATGAGTGGTGTTCAATTTTAGGTGACCTGACCTGTGGAGGAGAACTGGAACCAGGGTCAACCCTACGTTGTTACGAGTAACAACGGGGGGTCGTACCTGGTTGAGTTTGTAGGAGGGGGGGTCGTACCCACTTTAGTCGCTCGAAATCACGTGTGGGATTGAGGTGAAACTAAGATTTCGTGGGTAGTAGGCTGGGACGGAGTGGGCGGGGTTTTGATGGAAGATGGAGATGGTGGAGGTAGGGAAAAGGGGGTCGTATCAAATCCACGTTGGGGGGGGGGGTCGTAAAAAATTTTCGAAAAGTAACAACGATAGGACAGACCCTGACTGGAACGACCATGGACTTAAGCCTGCCCTCTCACTGTGATAGAGATGATTACATAGGTAAATTCGTTTCGCTACTATTGACTGTCTCTGAGTAAACCAATACTATAGCCTTCTCACAACGAATGTTGTCATAATTGAAGTCTGAGTTAAGTTATAGCTGCTGGGATACAAAAGAACCTACATGCTCCTTTACACTAAAATCCGAAAGTTTCTACATAACTTAGTGCACTATAGCTAGCGTTGTAGTTGTGCGGAGGCGGGATATTAACAACAATCAAAACTATATTCAGAAACAAAATTTGGGTTATTACGGATGTCAGTGAACTTTCTCCTCCACCAAGTAGCTTTGCTGATAGCGCCCAGTACTTTGAGCAACGATTATCTCGTAAAAATGAAGGTGCTTGTTTCATGGTGGACGGTCAATTGAACCGAAGACCACCACGACGAGTTGAGAGAGAGAGCAACTAAGTGAAGATCTCTGCAGTGAATTTGATTTACTGCTGGGTTGTCTCTTCATTGCTGGCGCAATGGCTGAGAACGTCACTGGCATGTGCTCGACTCACAAAAGAACCAGCAAAAGGCACACGTGTTGTCCACGTGAATCAAAAACAGGGAAAAATTGTTACACTCCATCCTGTCCTGATTCTAATGTGATTATTAAGGCAGCAGAGACAAGCATACGCTGAGTAAGGCCAATGAGGGCAGCAATGGGTGGAGTCGGTATTATATTATATTTTTGAATAAAATGGGTATAAAATTTTCAAGTATTATACTTTGGTAAGGTAGCAACACAGAGTAAATGCGAAGGGATACGTCTGCTGATCCCCTTCACGAGACCCTTGAAGAAATTTTGCCCAACGATGTCAGGCACCCAAGGGCGTTCAATAGGGTTATCAAAAAGAAAGAAGGAAGATGGCTCGATGAATCAACTCTACCAACAGAGACGTTCAATGTCGGAATGAAAAGCTTCTTGTGAGTTCAACCTCGCTAGAACATCTTGGCAGTTTGTTCCTAGTTCGAAATCTTAACACGACCCGAATTATTATTTGCTTATTTATTGCATAATTCAGTGGAATTTTTCATCTTATTTTGTATTGTAAAGATTTCAAAACTTTCTAGATAGCAAAAGCTTACTGACAAAGGTGCATGAAGGATCATTGTTATGAAAATCATCAAAGGCGATTTCACGATGAAAGGCGGCGCTCATTCAAAAATAAGGTAGAGGTGGTCAGTGGTGCAGGATGAAGAAAAAACCATGAGAAACGGCCCAGAACCCGAGAAATGGGACCCTTCCTTGCCCGTTGATTTCCGCATTGATGCGACTCTCATCGGTGCTGCCCTCTTCAACGCTAACGCTCTCTCTGCTAAACGGCTAGAAGTCAGACAGCGAGAGGGAGGCGTACCGCGCCGATAGCGCGCGGGAAGGGCCATGCTACGTTAAAGGGGGATACCCTACACACGATGCGAATTGCGTGTCGGTCCGCACTCTTGGGAGGTCCACCTGTCTTCCCACTACGTAAGCATTCCCTTCTTTGACCTTCGACCTTGTCGTGGAATCCTCCACTAAGAAAGGCCCAATTTCAAAATCAACATACCATTCTGTCTCTTGAAAAGGAGTGCGTACCTGGAAAGGGAACAGCCACCATGCAATGATTTGAGGATCCAACTGGTGCTAATCCAATGGCAAGCCATGCCGATCTGCTGGTCTTCTAATCACTGGCGAAGTGGCTGATCACCTTGAGCATGGTTGGATCTCTGTGAGCTGTAGCAGTGCCCACGTCTCTGCTGCTTCTCTGCCTTTTGGACTAAATGTGGGATTAAAAATGGCGGGTTTAACCATTCGGTAGTATTGCAAGACTCTATAGGGTGACAGTGCTCAGAAAAATTCTAAATTCCGACTGTGACTTGCAGGACACCAGCCGGCAACGAGAAGTCTTACGTGTTTCGAGCGAATTCAACCCATATTCTATCTGAGGAAACATTGGCGAAGGAGTATTCTAACGCTATTTTGCATCTCAAAATTTGTCCCTTGCGACAAAATCATGCACCCTTGACGGATGCAAGGAAACCATGAAATTATGTAAAGCAGCGCAAGCATATTGGTAACATGGCAACAGCAGTCAGACTTTATGTATCACATTACGGAGTAATGAGGCTCAGGAGGATTAGCGTTCACGATCGCTAACTTGTTGATGCGCCGCCGAAATTTTTTAGGCTTCATTCTTCCTCTGGAATCAAACGTAGCTTGGGCTTGGAGCTATTCGACTTTTGAGCCTACATAGAACCGCTGATAATAATAATAAAAATATTAAAAATATTGTACGGATTTCCCTGGTCCAATATTTTCCAGCAGATGGAAAAGATAAAAAAAAGAACAGAAATACAAGGTTGAGAAATTACCATATCTATCAACATCAATGGAAGGAATTGGAACGATCTAAGGAACCAAAAAATGTTCCGTACCCCATGAATTTTGCGCCAAACAAAATACGGCTGCCAAACATCAACGCGACATGAACGGTCGCATATAAAGGTTTGTGTGAAAAGCTATACGAAGTTAGGGTGCAAAGATAATAAACGGTGAAACTCCAGTTCGGGGGGGGCACTCCATTTTTTCTCCAATACTCAAGATAAGGATTAGAGGGCTCACGACACGTAATCGACTCATTTAAAGTAGACTTCTGATAAATATTGGTGTAATGGGTGAGAAACCCTGAAACGTTTTCACATTTCCGCCTGCCATGACCCAAGGGAACGGTCCTGGACCAGGAGAAAGGACACCTCCGCAAAGGGCTAAGGGTGCAGGAGCTCCAGGGTGGATCACCTGTGCAGAAAAGTGGATGGGATGTGGGCAGGTAGTGTGGAATGTAGGACATCCACCGGTCCTTATCAAAAGTACGCTCGAAATGAGTCGTTCACTTATTATCTTATCCGTAGTGTTTGTTCGATAGCCCAAAGAACTGCTCTCTAGTACTACGGATAAGATAGCAATGGAGTGGCCCCCCCGAACTGGAGTTTCACCCTATAAAAGTTGCAATTATGGTTCTTTATAATTTGGCCCGCTGTATCTATCACCACACTTGGTGCAAAAACAGGATGAAGACTCAGCCGTCAAATAATTTCAGGGGTGGGAGAGGGGGGGGGGCAATTGAAAGTCATCTCGCCCATACCGCTCATCACCAAACTTTTCGCCGCAAAGGGTGTCGCCGTTGGTAGAATGGCTTGGCAGCATGTTCCCTGGATGTCCACCTATGAGAAAAGCAGCTCCTTCCTCACTGCCCTCACCGTCCTCAGAATATGATGTCATCTGCCATAATCGTCGAGCTCAAGGAGGACTACCGTAATCGCTCCAGCTTGAAGCTTGCAACATGCAAATTGTAAATAAAAAGTAAAGAATTAGCCCAGCGCCGCCATTACAATGATTACGAAGGGCTATATATGGCTCAAAAGCCAAAATATCAAAGAAGACTTGTATTATCCACTCATATTCAAGATGACCACGCAGCATGCCCCAGCCACGGACTTAGCGGAAGCTCGGCGGTGATAACAGCTCTCATTCCCTTCATGGAATTCAGTGGAAACAGAGGAGTGAGGACAGACAACCAGAAGCCCGGCTAACCGCTCTGCGATAAGTCAACAGTCGTGAAGCTCCACGAATATCAAATAAACTCCCACGACTCTAATGATGCCGACCTGTTTATAAAGATGTATCAGCCACTCTTTATTACGCTTGGACCATTTCCCGAACATATCAGTTACGGACGTAAGTGTCGTGTTCAGTGGCCTCGCTTTAGCACGCGCCGTGGGTCGCGGACTCCGACTTGCTTGGGCGATGCGTCGTCCTTTGCAACAAGCCTATATCCCGCTGCGGTCTTCGGAAATTCGTATCAAGAGCTGGTCCAGGACAAAACCACTTGACTTTTAAATGGCTTGACACCCGAAAAGTATTTGGTAGGCAATCGCCATTTCAAACGCAATCGAATGTACAAATGGAGTTTAAATGGCGTGACCGCACTCGAAAAAATGGAAATTTTCAA